CAGATGCAATATGATCATGGGGTACTGTATGGCCTGTGTGCATATGAGGGAATACCAATTCAAGGGAATAAAAATATACTATAGACATGTATCTCATATAATATAACCCAGAGAGTGATCGCAATTTACCATTGTCCTAGCAGTCAAATCTTCCCTGAATTTCTGACACGTTAGAGGCAAAATCTATTCTAGGTAGAGAAGTAATAAGGGACAGGGGCCAGAGGGATCTTTACTGCCAGCCAGACTGGAATTCTGCAGGCCCTGGGGAGCAGTCTCAAAGACAGTCATGAATCTTTAACCAGGAACAGCACTTGCTACAAGATAATTACCATGCAGGCAGCAAAAGCTGCAGAACACATGTCATTTCTGAACTGTTTCAAATAACCTATCCTGTTCTCCTAGTTACAACCTTCCAGTATTCAGTAAGCAACACAACTGACATTTGTTCTTGGTGACTGTGCAACAGGTAGCTATACAGAAAGGTTCTGCTCTGCTGTGTCAACGGGGAAAGAGAAAGCCGAAGGCACTTGCACCGGTGCTTCAACTGGGTGTCTGGAGGGGAAAGAAAAAGGCATATCAGCCCCGACTCTATAAGCCATAGTCTGATGTGATGGCAACGTACTGCTGACAAGCTCTCCCAATGAAGGCAGCAGCTCTCACATTTCAAGAATAGGCTGAGTTTTTGCAGGAAGTGTGTTGCAGGCAATTGCACAAGCTACTGCCAGCCAATTGCTTGGTGATTTTTTGCTTCTCTGTAAAGCAATGACTCCAGTATGTTCTGCATGCAGCCATTCATTCAAAAAGTGCTAATACTAAGCTGTAGAAATTTCTTGAAGTGGTAAGGTAGATGGTCCTCCCATCCCACTGCACGAGACACAGAACAGGATTTCATGAAATGGCTACTATTATGATCTGCATTACTATAACATCAGATACGTGAGACTGAGTTTTTAACTCGCCTGGAGCAATTAGTTTTCCTAGCTTTTGTATTTTTAAAACTAGGAATTGCCTTAACTAAACCATAAAAATTGTCTTGTATATAATGAAGTGGGCACTAAGTTATAGAAGAGACAGTGTTTTCCAGGCTTAGAAAATTCTCTATGTGATGGCAGAAACAGTATGTTTATAAAAGGGATCCCTGTCCATGGGGATCTCTGAAATCCAGAAATCCTGCATTTTCTTGTTGCCTTTTCCAATCACACAAAGCAAGGATATGTAGCAGAACATCTAGCAGCCTCCACACTTCACAGATGTTCTCCTACACCTGGCATAACTACATCATTGTTTCCTAAAACAGAAAGAAAAAAATAAAGCAGAATTGCTCTGTGCATTCCAGTTAGTAGCTGCACCTCATCTTCTTTAACACTTGCCCTCTTACGGACGCATTTTGCCCTCTTAAAGATACATTTTCTATGAATGCTTTGAAGCAGTCACTTTGTCTCCCCTCAGTACGGCCCAGTATTCACGCACCCGGACCTTAGCAACAGATTCAGTATTTAGTAGTAGATTCTCTGGGCAATGAGTACTACGAAATGGCAATACATAAAGTACAAATGCCTCCTTGCCTGAAATGCAGCATGAATAGTTTTGTCAGGTCTGCATCACTGGCTCACAATGTTTTTCAGCTTTTTCAAACCCTGTTTTGCTAAAGCACATGTATTTCATGTGCTGCTTTGGCTGGACATGCTCAGATTTCCCAGCTGTGTCCATGTTTTGAGGTCAGCTATTTCAACAGCAAAATTTTTTCCTTTCCAGTGGGAGAAAGAATACAAAGAACAGAGTCAGGGATATAACAATTCCTCATTATAAGAGGCACCAACACAGCCAGTACTAACTGGCACCCATCTCCATAGAAATGCCATGTATTGTAAGGATAAAGAAAATGAGTTATTATCCTTTAGCCACAGGGGAAGCATTCCCAGGCACAAGGAACAATGTGAGTGAGTCTGCATTGCTGCTTCTGCTGTTCCTGTACTATGGCTACAGCAGTGTTTCTCAACATTCATCCCTTGTATCCTTTCCCTCCAGGATACAGTCGTACATTATCCTTCACCCTGAGTTTGCAAAGCAACTGGCGACACATGAGGTGGCTCAGTCTAGTAGCCATGTGCCCCTTCTGTCCTGCCATCTGAGTTTTCCACCCCTGCCACCAACTAAAGTCTTAGAAGAGTTTCAGCCCCAGTGCTGTTGCAGGTCTTCCTGGCTGTATGTATAATCCCACCCAGCTTTCTAGGGACATTCCCTGGGACAGGTTCTGCTGTCTCCCAGAGGAACATGCTTTGAGCACTGCTGGGCTAAAGAGCTGAGATTCTTTATACTACCAGTAAAAAACCGTGACAATATATAAAATTTTAAAACCCCCAAACTTTACAGTAGTATTAAATAGAGACAATTATGTCCTTCACTTGCACTTTTCCTTCATCACCCAATACAGGGGCAACCCTCAAACCTAAATGTACTTGGTGTCATGCAGCAGATAGCTGTGATCACAGAGACTCCCATGACAGAAAATGAGGGCTGGGGAAATGGTTACCCAGCTTCTGGTATCCTTCAAGGTGAAATACTGCAGAATTGCCCCTTAGTAGAAAACCAATGACTTTCACTGGGATCCTCCCCAAGTAATGGTGGTTGTCACTTCTCCAGATCTTCAAGGTAACAGCTATTTGTACAGCTATTCCTCCCTGTCTCCAGCATGGAGTTCCTGACAGGTTAGCCACAAGGCACACCGCTGTCATTTCAAACTAAAGTTTCTCCAGGCAGAATTTTCCATGACCCTTTTTCATCTGTACTCAGCAAATCACTTGAGAATCAATAGTGACCACAGTGCAGTCTCTTAGCTGGCAAAACAACCTCCAAATTCAGCAGCGAGAGGATAAGTCAAAGGTACAAATAAACCTGTGCAGCTTAGCGTGTGCTCTGTGATACTATGGGGGGAGCAGCTGAGTCAGTGAATGGCTCCCCCTGAGAGTCACAGTCTCCAGTCACATCAGGATTGTATTATTTATTGTTGCTGAAAAGGAATGAAAGCAGAGCACTCAGTAGTGCTAAAATAATTAAAATAGTGACATTGCTGGACCAGTTTCCTTATGATTCTCCTGTGGCTTCCTACAATTTTAACCAGGGTAGGCTGTGGCAGTGGTTAGAGAAGCCAAGGAGCTAAGGATTAAGCAAGTGGGACTCTTCTCCTTGAGCCAATTGTGACCATACAATATAAGGGAGACAGTAACACTGAACAAGATAGAAAACTAAGGTCCTAAATAGTCTGACCAAGAGGCAGTTACGAGATAAGCAGCTGCAGTTCACAGAGAAGTCAGGACTAAATCTGGGAGAACTATGCAAGGTGATGTGAACTGGCAAAGAAACAACTGATGCATATTTTCTTTGATTCAAAGTACAAAAAGAATAATTTACAGGCAAAAAAAGAGCAAGAGGTGGCATAAGGAGGAAGGCACCAGCTACAAGAAGTCAAACGAAGGCAGTTCACCCTCCAGTTTACGTTACATGCTCTCTTTAAAAAGTTCTTTCTGCTAGATTCTCCCCTTCAGACCTTTGGCACTGAGATGGGCGTAATCAGCCCCAGGTCAGTAACTTTCTTACAGGCCACCTTCCTCTCCCCTCCCCTCTCAGCATACAATTTCAGATGGTTCTTACTTCATCACTAAGTTTGGTTCTCAGGCAATAAAAATGCAGCAGCATGTTACAATTAGCAGTGCAGTTCACATGCAACTGTACCTGCCTCTAAACCCACAGGAATATAAAGCTAGGCATTGCCTAGGCAGGGGCTGAAACCAGGTGCAGCCAAAAAGTTAAGATGGAGGAGATAAAAGGAAACAAGACTTGCTCTTTGGCATCAGAAGCAGCATGTAATGATGGCAAGTTCACAGAGTACTTTGCACAATGTGGCAGTGAGAACAAAGTCAGAAGCTGGGGGAAGATGGAATGAAATAGGAAATGTTCAGGGCTCAGGGAAATCAGAGTGGGGGGTCAAATACCTGGTAGGTGTCAATAAATTGAGAGTTTTAGGCAACAAAAGATGAGTGGGGCTGGAGTCAAGGCATTGAGAAGGAACAAATCCTGAAATGGAGCCTTCAATAGCCTAAGAACGTTTTGATAGCCCTGGTTCACTTATTGTCTATTTCTTCCAACCTCTTACAGCAGCTCATTTTGCACCATCCCACCGACAGAAGTGGAGTCTTTGGGGAGAGAACAAAACTTACCACATCTATGCTACTATATTCAATTGCAGTAAATGTTAGGTCCCAAATAAACACAATGGAAATTTCTGCTTAAAAGGAGACACCATGATGAAAACCTTAATTCTTTACATTGCCTTGTTATCATGTTATCTAAGAGTATTTAACGGCTTGAGAAGGCCATTTATCCACAGGCTTCTTGTCTGTACATGAACTGCATTTTTCTGGCTTGGCTTGGGCTAAGGGCTAACATTCATCTGTAGGTATCCAACTGAGTAGAAATGCTCAAAGAATGAATCCAGACCGAGCTTTCTATCCCAACCAAACTGACCGCATATAACAGAAAGTCAGTATATTTGTTTACAATTAGCATTTAACAAATACAAAGTGTAAAATCAGTCAACCTTGTGGCCCTTATCCAGTTCCCATTCAAATTACTGAGACCTTTGTCATTGTCTTATTTGGGAGAAGAACTGGATCACCGACAGAACAGAGGTGGAGCCAGACCTGTCCTGCATGTAGGCTTATTTAAGCAATTCTGGTTTCTTAAGAAAGCAGCTTTGTGTGTATATTCTTGTCGCTTATGATGAGATCAAAGTTACACAATCTGCCCAGTGAAGTCTGAATTGGAGATGTAAAGCCAGAACGAGAAAGTGCTCTTTGGTCTCAGAGGGAGTGACAACACTTTCGTAAAACCTTGTAATCATTGACTTAGTGTATGCTGTTGCAGCTGTAGGTTTAAAGGTGATGGTCAGTATGTAATAAAAAGGGGACACAAGTTTATAAAGAAACACGGCTCCATTGCTAAAGTCTGCCATTTCATGCAGGTCAGCCCCTCCATACTGACTTACCATTCTGATCTGCTACACTGGTTTTCTAAGCAGAATGGTTTTACTTGTTTCAATGCTCTTTGGCATACAGGCGCTTTGCTCCTGGGCTACCTCTCCTCCTGCCAGAGAAGCACTGACTGCATTGCTTTCCCCCACCTGCCATGACACTGCAGTAGAGGAGGCTGCAGATCTGGCTCTTCGCCAGATCAATGCTGACCGAAAAGAGGGCTACATACTCAGTCTCTACCGAATCTTCAGTGTCCGAGAACATCCTCAGGTAAGTTACCTGCTTGTTCTGTATCTGTTTCTCCCATGAAGAGCCCTGCGTCTATCACTATTCCTTAGCATTATCTATTTGAACTAAGAAATATTTCAAAAGGCAAATGTAAAGTTACATTCACAGGACTCCAGAGGCCATGTCAACTTTACGCACGGATGACTAGAAACAGTTTCATCACCACTGTGGGCAATTAGAGAACAAATCTCAGTCACGATTCTCTGCTGCCTGCCCCTGGAATAGCTCCAGGCATCAGTTCAAATTTGGTATGAAACACCACTACTCTGATTTAATTTCATTTTACACCTTCCTCCCACTGCCTTGAGCAGTTGGAGTGCAAAGGCTATTAAGTCATCGTGCGTTTTGCACAAAAGATGTAAGCACTAACAGGTGTAAACACGTCCAGCTTGGGACCAGGGAATTCCTTCACAGACCTCTAAATGATGACTCATTCTCCAGAGGAAATCTGAAACCAGTTCAAGTGCAAAAATTACACTGGAAATACCTATGGACTATCACTCTCATATCCTCAAGTATCTTATTTCTCTGTGTGTGCTTAATTTATTACTATTTTGTGTTACAATAGCTGAATCTACTGGCATTAGCCAGGGACAACCTGAAATGAGTGCACAAGGCCCACAACACATAAGGCACTGTGGAAGCATCCCTGCCATGCTTGCCCACTTCCCATAATCTTACCTGAAAGGCTGTGTTCTGAATTCTAAAAGAAAATCAGGCTCATTGCCAGATGTTTAAAGATCTGTACTGGCAAGGATATGACACTACTTCCTGCTGCTCTCACAAGGACATAGTTTCTGCAGATACGCTGTGGCCTCCAGCAATCTGAGATCTCACGACTAAAGATGCACACTTTGCTGTACTTCGCACTATGTTCTCTATACTTCTTTGCTCAGCTGACAGAATGTGCCCACTAAGCAACTGGATCAGGTCTCTTCGGATTTTTTTCCACATGGGATGCCTCTGAGCTGGCCCAGAACCCTTATCACCAGTCATGGAGTTAGGTACTCAGTGCCCCATCCTGGGGCTATTTCCTACCGACAATAATTAGAGCACCCCTATGACTACACTGCAGTGCAGCACGGTAGGTGCAGACATGCTGTAAAGCACTTCATTCATCTCCCCGCTTCTTCCTTCACCTGTGCGAAGTATATCTCAGCACAGGAGAATTTTGGTCCTTGTTTGTGATTTGGTCTGTCACTTAATTCCCTAGAGACTTAACTTACTGCCTTATAGCATACTTTGCTCTTTCTTCCTTTTGGGGTTTAATATACTTTTATTCTTATTTTTTGCATCTAATATGCTTACGCTGTAAACAAGGTGTTTCAAGACACTGCAGTGACAAACTAGACAATCTAAACCCTTTGACACATTTTTGCTGCTGGTGGAACTGAGTACATAAGAAGCAGTCAGCTATGTCAGGGATGTTCACGGACAGTAACAACCTTATGCAACCTTCTATTCCCTTCAAAAAAATAAAGAAGTTTCTTTTTTTATCAGCCAGTGGTCCTTCCTCCCATTTTTTTAACCAATACTCAGAACAAAAACATTTTCAAAGTTACTTCAAATTCAGATCTGCCCTTAAGCAACCTGTGGTTCAGTTTTGCTCTAATGGAAACTAATGAACCATCTGCTATTAACTTACATGCAAGTAGGACAGAGCCTTTCTTTCATACAAGGTACTCATGATTAACTTCACTGACAGGCACTTAACCAAAATTACAAACCGTGCCAAAACATTTCTTTCCCTTGCACCAGGTCGCCCTGCCACAAAAGCGATGTTGCGCTCCTGCGGCATCTCTTCTGGCTCCCAGGCTCCCCAGCATGCATCACAGCGGCAATCCTAGCATCAGCAGCACTGAGGAAGGGATCTTTTTGGCCACGCAGAAAAGAGAAAAGTTTTTATTCAATACTAAGCAGATATCAAAAGGTCTCTGCATAGCGGTCTTTTAATGAAAATTAAAATAAGGATGATGAAACCTTCAGAGATCTGCTGAGCTCTGAATAAACCCCAAATTATTCTTTCCCCAGTGGAGGATGATACATACAGGAGCAGATAGACAAAAAGATGTGTGGATTTTATAATAACCTCATCTGCATATTAGAGCTGATATTGTACAAGAGAGCTACAGGCAACAGGAATACAGTTTGGTCCACCCTGCTTGCATTTAGTATTTCCAAGATCACCAATCCTTGCAACCAGTCTTCATGATTCAGCTGAGTGAATCCATCTAACATCAAACATATTTGATTATAAGAACATTTCTTTAATGAGATATGTGTGTACTTTTGCCTTCAAAATACCTTAATAACCAACCTGAAAGCTCAAGTCATCAGTCCCAACTTTGGGACTCCTGAAAGATACACATTTTCCTTGGCTATTACTTCTTCATGCAGTGACGTTTTTTCTCATAGAGGATATATTTGAAGTTACAAGCTTGCACCAAATGCTGCACTACTCAAAAAACACATTTTCAGCAAATGGCAATTACTCTTTGACCAGTCTTACTTTCTGTTTACTGATTTAACCTATATTAGCTACCATATTAAGGAGACATATCATCATGGTATTTAGGTACCTTGTATGTAAACAGAAAATTACGATTAGTTCCTTCCACAGAAGGATCTATGCAGCCAGGTGTGGGGATGCTGCCATGCCATTGTACACAGTGCTGCTGCACCTCAGCTTCACTCTTTGTCAAAATACCTTTTGATCTTTTCACAACCTTCAAAACGACACTTATAATTAAACCTCAGGATTAGCGCAGGCAAACCCTGAGAGCTCAGTGCAAGGCATTACCAAATTACTTCATAGAACACTTAGGGAAAAAAGAGGATATGAAAACACAAAAAATAGTATAAAGCATGATAAGTTGCATATGTAAGAATATAACTTAGAGACAAAGCTAACAAAACAATTTACTCATTCTGTATATTTATTTTCTATTTATTTTGCTCTTTTATATTTAAAGGGTTTAGTATTACAAGTATATATGGTAGAACTCTCATAAAATCACCATCCCAGTCTCTTTCCAGAGATCTCTATACTGTGTGACCAGAATAGTTTGTATCGCTCGGTCTCCTTAGAACTCAAGGACAGATACCTCTAGTGTTTTTCTAAGCAGTATAAAAACAAAAAAGCCAGCAATACTCCAGCCTTTAGATGCCCTATTGACTGGTCTTTAGTTGTTGTTAAACAGAAACGAAAACTGAAGCCAAAATTGTACAGATACTGGCCCCAGACTCTTGCCCCACAAAGTGTTTTCTCCATAAACCAGTGAAATCAAATAGGAATGAATGAATATTGCTCTCATTTAGTTTTGTTTTTTCTCCCTCTTCAGCAAAGACATAATCTCAGTCTAAACATGCAGCTAACACACCTAAGTTCTTTAGGATGGTTAAATGACAGCTGCTCTCTTTCCAGCTTTCCACTACAAAAAATAGAACACAATCCTACTAAACTGTATTCTTGATAAGTATCCTGGAAAGGTGCTTATCCATATCTACAGTGGAAGCAGAACCAGGAGCTGCACCATGCAGCATCTCATCTTTCTGTACTACATGATGTAATCACTAGATATATGGAGCTGTACTTTTAGTCTTTCTCTGTCCCTCTCGCATGGAAACGTGTTTGCCCAAAAGTTGAGCCCTAACTGCTTTGTGCACCTGTGCTGCAGTGAACTGAACAAAGGTTTCTGGACTTAAGCACAGGCTCAGAACGCAAGCACTGGACTGAAGCTTTAAGTGAGTCAGAGACATCCATGTATATATATGCAAGGTCTCTCATAGCACTTTCTGATATCTGAGAGAATATTTAAGTTGTCTCTTTACGGCAAAGCATCCATACTTGAAGAAGACACTACTCTAAGAAAGAAGATATTTCTGTTTCTAATGCCTACTGGGAATGTTTCACGTTAGCAGTTTTTTATTATTTGTGGTATTTATTGTCTCATTCTTACTGAAGGCAAAATAACCTACCTTTCAAATCTAATCATAAAATGCATTTGACAATGAAAACATTACCATGTTTAGTCCTTATTCTTGAGTTTTGGTTGGTACCAGAATCAGAAGGATAAAACTGACTCTAAAAGGTTGTTCTTTAATTAAAGCTGGCTAGACGCATGACCAAGCCTGTACTAACAGGGCCTGAATCTCACCTGACTTGCCACTGTTGAGAATTCGTCCCACAGAATGCTCAGTTTTCCGGATATCTATGTGTCCCACCTGTGTGGTTTGTGTTTCTCCATCTCTCCCTTTTATGTGTCCCTACTTTGTCCTGTACAAAACTGGGATATGACGGTCTCTTTTTCTGTTTTCAGGACATCACTGGTTCTGTCTTCTATCTCATCTTGGATGTAGTAGATACTGAATGCCATGTACTCAGCAAAAAGTTGTGGAAGAACTGTATAGCCAGATTTGCTCATACAACTGTAAGGATTTTATTTTCTTATTTAATCTCAGGTATGATGAGTTACTCAGGTACTACTGATGACAGCAAAATCTCTACACATGCATTTTTAGTAGGCAGCAGAGCTTAGAAGAAATCTAAACCCATTTTTTAAGGTCCACAGTTTTGCCCTGTACTTTCTAATCAGTTATATAGACTGGTAAGATTTATTTTAAAAATGAAAATGAAAAGAAAGGTTTTGACCAGAGTTAATAAGCAGACATAACTAAATAGCCATGCTAGGACACTATTTAGAATAAATGGTTTACTTTTTATAGCAACCCTGTAAGAGTTTATTTTAAAGACAGCCTGTCAAGAAAGGAGTAAAAGAAACTCACTTTTATATAACATGCGATCTTTGGTTTAGTTTAATTCCACTTGTATTCTGACAACCTTGCAAAAATTGTACTGAAAGCTCAATAAGATAAGCTACAAAGACAGAAAGTGATCTAAAACTGTTGCTATAGGTGACCAAAACAATTCTGTACAAGTGAAAAAAACCCTTATGAAATAAAGAAGACAAGAAAGAAGTTTCACATGTGAAAAAAAAAAGAAGTTATGATTAAATTGTCCTGGGCTGCTTCTTAGGTCAATCAGTTTTCATTTTTAAATGAAAAACTGGAAAAAATAAAAAGAATTCTGCTCACTTCTGCTTAAGCGCTTTGAGCAAGAAAAGGGTGCAAAGAATATATGGTTGATATGGTTCTTGGCTTCTGTGAAGTCAAGAAATGTATGTCCTAGAGGCCTTGATCATACATGTGGCAATATTTAAGAAGTACTCAGAGAATATACATTCAACTTGTAAAAATAAAGGCACAATGGATATTAATAGGCCAGTATTTTTTCTGCCATAAAGTCAGAGTTTCTTTGTGTGCAAGGGTGATCTTATTGTGCCACAAAACTGATTTGGGGTCTTTCCTACCACTCTCCTTCCTTACTATGGACATAGGGAAAAGGGGGAAGCTGGAAGACAGGTGACTGGATCCAGACACTCTAAGCTGATCTCCAGGTTTAAGCTCTCTGGGTTCTAGACATAGACGCAGCCCCCGGTGACACTTGGGCACTTCTTAGCTGCCAGAAGAGTGGCCTTGTGTAGGCCACTCTGCAGACAAGCACTGCACCTGTAAAGCTCAGAATTACACCAGGGGAAAATCTGGCCTTTTATTTCTAAAGGAGATGCTTAGAAATGTGCTTCATTGCCATTTGAGTATTAACACAACTTTATTCTTGAAAATAATTTCATGACTGCAAGGAGAAAATGAACCACTCACTGTCTAGATACTAGATGATCAGTGCAAAGGGTGCAATATTAATTGTTTCTAAATGTTTATATTGTTTTAGGTTTATGGTCAATGCAAAGCAATTATCTACATTAATCAGGCAAGAAATATTGCTCATCTGAATACTTATGAGTGCATTTTACAACCAGGTATGTCTTTATTTAACACACTCACTTTAAAAGAGGACTGGAAAAACACTCTTTGCCATATAGCATTACTTTAATTGTAATTATGGCACCACAACGTCTCCATTAGCTTTCAGCTGCCCTAATTTTCTCAAGTCAGTGATCACAAGTTCAGTGTGGTCTTGCAGCTCAAAGCAGTGCAGTAAAAAATAACTGTTTTCAACTCTGGGAAACCCAGCAGAGCCTCTATATGGGCTTTTACTGTCTGGTCCAAAAAGCATTTTTATGGGTTTGTGAAAGGCAAGTAAAAACAGCAAGCCCACTGTCAGTAGGTTGAGCTTTTTTCTGCAGCGTCTCTGCCTCCACTGCAACATTTTTATGGGTCTGCAAATTCATAGAGATTCAAAATCATTGAGTGAATCAAACCACATATTGTTACTCCAGGGGACTGGAGGGCAAGTGAGTAGGGTTGGGGGCATAGATGCATTTACAGTGACCTACATTATCAACATGCTCTTATGGTTATGCTTTCTCTAATGACATTGTTTTGTTTGAATAAAAAGTTCCACCCAGATATATTTGGACAGTATGTCCTGACTGCCCAGTTGATGACTGTCCAACTGAGCCCAAATATTTGGAGGCTGCTGTTCAAAGCCTTGCCAAGTTCAATGAAGAGAGTGAACAAACTTCTTATTTCTCTGTCCTCAATGTCACAAGAGCTTCAATGCAGGTAAGCCAAACCTCATCTGACTTGCTTTAGCTCTCAGGAAGTATGGATCCACCTGTTATACTTTGTATGATTTGTTACGTCTTACAGATTGTTTAGAATTTGTATCTGTATAGTACAGAGAATACTTCTAAGCAGAATTCTCCTGGGAAATGAGGATCTGCATTGATCCAAGACTTTGACTCCATTTATTGCAAAAAGAAGGGCTTTATGCAAAACTCAAGACACAGATTCGCATTCTGAAGTTAGGAAAGCTTCACTGTGAGCTCTTTCTTCTACCACCACGATGAATTAGTGACTCCCTAATAGAAAGCATTTAATAAAGCACAGTCATCCCTTCCAACACATACCTGTATTTCACTGACTGAATTTAAACATGGTTTAAAACTATTTTTAGACTAACACAGGGTTAATGATCTCCTGGCTAAATCCTGTTTGTTTACCACAGTAATATCTGGTCTCTCTAAAATTCATTATGTATAGATAATAAGGTGGTTTTCACTCTTTGTCTTAAACTGTTAGATATTACTACAATACAGTATTTAATCGCTCCCATTTTCCAACCCTGAGGTACTTGCATTTCAGAAATAGAAGAAGTTATCTTGTTCATTAACGCAGCCAGAAATTATCAACAAGACACTGAAGAGGGTCTTTGGATATGTAGTTCTATGTGGATGCTAACTTATTATGAAAACCAAACTCATTTATCAGTGATCTGGATGAGGGGATCGA